GATAAAAACCTATAAACAAACACCCTTATAATTAATTCAGGGAACTGTGTATTCAAATAAGCCAGTAATCAAGCATAGAAAGAATAAAAACAGTTTTAGATTTGCAAAAGGGAAACCAAAAATCTATGCACTCTTTACTAGGAAGCTGCTAATGGTGGTGGTAAACCTATGGCACACGTTTACTATTGTGTTTTTCTTTTAAGATAAGCGATGTTAATGCATGAGTTGTTTTTCCCTAACTAAAACCTCAGTATTTAGGTTTAACTGCAGTGTTGGCACTTTGCACTAAATAGTGAGTTTTGGGTTGCAGTTTGGGCACTCATCTCTAAAAGGTTCACCATCACTGTGCTAGGGGGTATGCTTAGCTGAATAAAAGTAAATCAATAGACAAAATGATTCTAGAAATAGACTTCAGCAGGCAAAGACAGAGGAGAGGTCAGGACAATAGTTGTACATAGTTAGTCTTAGACAGCAACTTGGGCAGAGGAATTTAGGGGGGAAGGTCTCCAAGAAGAAAAGCAACGGGAAAATTATCTGACGAGAACTTGTAAAAAGTACTAATGGGCATTTGACATATCTGTTGGAAGATGTGGAAAACATCAGGACATAGAAAAGGAAATAAACAATGACATGGAGGATGGATATGATCAAAATATGTTGTAAGCATGTATAAAAATACCACATTGAAACCCAATAATATTATAAAATTAACAGGCAGTAATAAAAATTTTTTAAATGAGGCACAATGGTTAGAAAGAAAAGTTAATTCAGTTATATGTCTTCTGGACTCAATAAAAAATAATATTTACATGTATTTTAAAAAGTAACATTAAAATGATTATTTAAACAATAAATTCAGATATATCAGAGAGTAGGGGGTGTATGTGTGTGCAGGTATTGAAAGGGACAGGGAGAGGAGTGTCAGTATGAAATTACTAAACTCTCAATAACTATAAGAAATAAATAGCATGCTTGTAATCCCAGAACTCTGGTCAGGTGAAGCAGGAGAATGGCAAGTTTAAGCCCAGCCAAGGCAACTTAGTGAGATTCTGTCTCAAAATAAAAGTGAAAAATAAAAAAAGCTGAGGATGTAGCTCAGTGCAAAAGTCCTGTGTTCGATCACAAATATTATCATAAAAAAAAGACTATAAAAGAATCTGCTTCCAAGTAGCAGAAATGTGGAATGGTGAAGGATAAGGCAAGGGCTGCTGCTTTCCAAATGACTTTTTAGCAAACTATGTGTATACACACATTACTTTGATAAAAATTATGTTTTGAATAGCAGAAAAGAATAACGTTTATGCAAGAATACCTATATGAAAATGTTAAAACAGTATTATCTATTTCAAAAACCATACTCATACAATCTAGGCAAAGATAAGTAAGTAGCAAAATTAAAACCTCTCTTTCTTGCCAGGTTTAACATCACTAAATTAAAAGTATGGACGGCAGGAAGACAGAGAAGGCAGATGAGGCTGGGAAGGAAGAACAGGCTAGCCAGTGAACAAACTGGTAGACTAAGACAAAGGATTTGAGTCTGTACTTGTAAACAAAATGTCACTGAAGGATTCTCATAACCAGGCCAACAACAACCAAACTGCATGTAGATAATGGGCACTTGTGAGATGAACTACTTGGTGATGGAAGAGGGGGGGACTTAAGGAGGCAGTTGGCCTAATCCTGCAGAGATAATGTGGAAAGGCAGAGGCAGTATTGACAAGCTGCAGGTGTGTCCAGGAAGTAGAAACAAGACTTGGCAACAAATACTATAATTAATAAAGTTGGAGGTGGGTACTTCCAATTCCTTCTTAGGCCCAGGGATCATGAAGTATTTGCTTTCTTCTGTGCTGAAGAAATAGGTTTGACTATTTCTATTGACTACAGGTCACTGAGGTCAAACTCCTTCCCCCCAGGGACCTCTGCTCAAAAAGCAGAGCTCATAGCTCTCATTTGTGTATTGATATTAAGAAAGAGCAAAAAGCTAAATAGCTAGTCCCATTTGACCCAGCTATTCCCCTGCTGGGTATCTTCCCAAAAGAATTAAAAGAATCATACCACAGCAATGTATGTCCACCCATGTTTATAGTGGCACAGTTTGT